CTTGCTGGCCGGCCGTACTACGGTAACTCTGGTCCTGCCATGAAATGGAAATTAGGAATGACGGCGCCTATATTTAGCTGAACCTTGATATACCTTCGTGAAATACATTATGTACAACAGTGGCTTACTAATAATATTTATCAACACGTTAATATGTAACAATGTGAAAGGAGTCACCGAACATCCGCTCAACTCGTTCAACTATTACAAATGAGTACGAATTTAAGAAGAAATACCACTGAAGTGATGACAGAATAAAACAGCCTAGTGGGCACGTTGTAAAATGGAATATAGGTTGAAAAGATTAACGATTAGAAGGGCAATATAGAGTTAATGTTGATCCAATGATTGTTCCCAAATCAAGCGCACGATGACTGACTGAGATCGATCGATACACTGGTTAAGCTGGTTGAACTAATGCTGACAATAAACAGTGGTAACGAATGCTGATAATGAATACTGATCCCGGCAAATTTGTTCGACTGTTTATATACTGCCCCCGAGCAGACTGACCTTCTATTTACCCTCCATGAGCTTCCCCCTAGGGGCAAACAGTGGTCGTGCTATACTTGAAAGCCTTTCGCGTACTGTCGCGACACTGCCGTTAATGCGCAATCGATTCTAGAAACGAATTGTTAGTTTGTTCATATTTTGATAATTCTCTGCAGTTTAGCGAAGCCTGGACTGTAAAATTCAGTGAATTCGGTAATTGTTCCAAGTGTCAAGAGATGAAAAATCGACAGTTGTTAGATTACTGGGACCAATCTCCACTAAATTACCGAAACTCGCAATTGTTAGTGTTTCTCTTGAAATCACCCGCGCAAATATCTCTGCAGAAAATTGAAAAAAGATCCGTGCAGGTGATTCGAGCGCACATAAACGCCTGATAAACCAGAACTAGCAGCACTGAAATTTGAAGCACTGCTACTGCATCACAATGTCCCAGTAACTGAGGCGTTTTTAAAATACGTATAAGTCCGAGGCCCCAGTGGTGCAGCAGGGTTTCGCTCTACTCCGCGCTGCAGTGCTGCCGCTACTTTTCCCATCTCTGTGCTGCTGTCCCCTTTCCTCTACTGTCGTCTCCTTATCGCGACAGCACACATAATGGCCTCAGAGGCCGAAGGCAATAAAGGAACTAAAAATGACCCTGGGGGAACGGTCTCGGAACCCATGCTAGGAGATCACTGCTGAATTAAGGTGTATAAAAGAGCAAGGTGAATACAAGGAAGTAAAGTATTGCTTTGGCAAAACGACATTGAAAGCTAGTGATTGGTCAGTCTCTCGTCTTTGTCTTTCGCTTCATCGTGCTCTTGCACAGCTTTGAAAAGTTTTTAATGTAATCTGTTCTTCCTTTGGATCGTTTTTTGTTAGGTTCATTCTAGTTTCTTTAAGTTTCAACTTGTTCGAAGTTAACTTGTCTGTAT